ATGTGTTACAAAGAGCTCCGGAATTGGCAGTGAGGAAAAGGGCAAACATAAGAACTCATTTGCCATCTGCTTTGAGCATTGCTCATGCCCATGGAGACATATGGAAAGAAAGAAGTCAATTACAGCACAGGGATCTCCAATTAAATATAAGCAAGAATTATTGTCCCTCCTTGATTCCACCCAGCTGCCCAAAGAATTGGCTGTACTACAATCCAGGACACACCAGGTTGGGGGTTGAAAAATCCCTGTGGGAAATAGACTTGCGTTAAAGCTACAGGGTAGGTTCTGTGACAAAGCATCCTGGTGTTAATTCCTGAGAAAGGAATTGCAGCCCCAGAGGTGAGGCCTGGATAGAGTTGGGCAGATTGAAAATTGGCTGCTTATCTAAAAGCCCACCATAATAAGGATGGCTGGGTGGGTAGGTGAGAGATAACTCCCAATAACCAGGTTTCAGGCCCTCCCCAACTGATGCTGCAATTTGTAAAGGAGAAAAGCACCAGCAATGCTCTGGGGAATCGATGTGATTGGGATCGGTCTGCGGCCTCAGATCCTCAGCGTCCTTAGGACAAAATTGTCAGGTCTGTTAGAGAGCAATGCCTGATATATTTTTAAAAGAGCCCTTTGAATTCAAAACTATCACCTCTAGGCATCACTGGAAGTGGAATCACTCCTGGCTACAACTGGCAAATGGATTTACTGAGCTTCCACACCAACATAGGCTCAGGTATCTCCTGGTGTTGGTGGATCCCTTTTTGGGGTCCAGAACGTCTCCTGCCACACCAACAAGGCCAGGGAAGTCACCCAGGCACTCCACCAGGAGATCATCCCCAGGCTCAAGGTGCCTACAGGGAAGTCATCTGATAGGGGACCCCAATTGTTATCTGAGATAAGGCAGCAACTCAGTGAGAAGAGGGGAGTGGAACTGGGTGGCACTGGGGGAACATGGGACTGTGGGATAGGGGTTATGGGGACTGAGCAATAAGAGAGAGAATAGAAAGTTTCAGATCCCCTGAAGATGCTGGATAGTGTTTTCAAAAAAACTAGCAAAAAACAATAAAAGGCTGTAAAAGTGTGCACACAGAAGAGCAAAGGTTGCTGGAACCTGTGGAGAAAGAGATAAAGGGAACTGCAATGAGGGGTATGTGGCAAGATCTGTTACACAAAAAGAGCAGTGCCAGCCCAAAACGAAAGTTTGAGGCAAGGTCATCTGAGATATTGGGGCACTTAGTGAAACCCACATCCTGACACCCCATTTTTATGACCCTCCAGGAAGAAAAAAAAAATATTTCCCAAAAGAGGCAGAGCAATGCCAATTATTTACGGGAAATGTGCTGCTTTTGTATTAGCTAAGAAGTGCATTTTGATGTATATATACAATTAGGATGGATAGATTCTGCTGGCAAAGTCCCCCCTGATGTGCAGCACCAGGAGAGATCTGCTGTGAGTCCGAGCTGATAAAGAATTCCATCTTTCTGCTACCTCCAGTTCTATCAGGGAATTCACTATGGCCGATTTTGATATTGGTGGCTGGGGGGATTCCATAGGACACTTGTGGAGGGACATGTGACTGGGATTGTAGACTGTGGTCATGGAGGGCTCCAGGCTGACATTGTAGGGTCTGGGGTTGGTCCCTGAATTTGGGTTGGGGTCCTGGGGTGACATGAAATGGGTATCAGGGCTGGAAGTGGGACAGTGGGACTGGGGTCTGGGAGAGGGCCAAGGCTGATGGCGGGGGGGGGGCAATGGTGACTTTAGGAATTTGGATGAGGTTCCTGAGTGGCCTGGGGTCACAAGTGGGCTACAAAGGTCTGGGAGCAGAAGCAAGACGCTGGGGAGTACCACTGGGACACTGCAAGGGTAAACAGAGGTTTGGGGTTGGGACTGGGCGGTTGATGTGTGGGGATTGAGAGATAGGGACTCTGCAATGCCAGCAAAGCAAAGGCATTTATTACACCAGTTTACCAGGATTTATAGCTCACTATGTTCATACGAAAATTTCTACTTGGTCTTCTATGCCCCAGCCCCCTTAAAAACACAATCTTCTCAATTATCCTTTCACTAGTAATGCCCTTGTTATCTCTTTCACCAACTACATCCTGGTTATCTATTCTCTGTCAAGAGCAGTGAGCGTGAAAGTCAGGAGTGTCCAGACATGATGGTCAGAGTGATCAGAAGTGATGTCTTCAGTTCTGTTGTTGCCTTGAGTCTTTCCCTCCCACAGTCCTCACTGTACCCAGGCCACAAGGTCTGCCATGCTCCACAGTTGAGCTTCTGTAGCAGTCTGGTCTTCCACATCTTCTCCTTCTCTGATCTTTATGCAAAGAGTTTGTGTACCCTTATGTTAAAGCAGTTCCCACCTGTAAGGCTATTATCTTATTAAGACTGTTACTGGTTGTCTGCTAAATACAAGATAAAATATATGGAGTACAGATCACAATCAAGAAAAACTTACCAAATGCAACCCTGTCCCTGACAAAGAGATTCACTGCATAGGAGAACAAAAGGATAATGTCCAAGCTCTTCTAGGAAATGAGAATAAATGGCCACTGTTCTAAAGTTCCTGCAGTTGGAGCTCGGGGCCATGCTGAGCCCCTCACAGAGGAACCCTTCCTATATACCCTCATGTGTCCTCAGTGTCTCCTTAGTGTGTGCTCCTCTTTGTTCCCCAGTGTCCCACAATGCTCCCTGTAAATTCCTTGCCATGGCCCTCCTGGCTCATACCCTGGCACTGCTGACAATGACTGTGACCACTGCAGCCATCAAGGTGGTGGCCCTGGACATGGCCCAGGTCTCCTCTGATGACCAGTACCAGACCTGCTGAGGCTGCTGGCCCTCAATCACTCTGAGTTCCAGGTGAATCCTCTCTTCACCCAGACCTGGGTGAAGGCCAAGGCTGAGTGGCAAATCAGGGCTCCCCTCTGTCCCCTTTGTCCCCTCTGGCAACTCCAGCCCAGGCCGTTGCTCTCATGGCCTACACAACAAAGGACATTTGTCACAGACATTTTTTCATAAAAATCCTTTCTTTTAGGATTTGTCCTTTCTGGGAAGCTGAGGCCTCAGAAGAAAAGTGTAAACAATTATTATCTGCTGTTGTGGAATGTAACAGGTACATCTGTGATTGGTCTTCTGTGAGTGTCTGGATTTACTGACCACTCACAGGAGAGATTATCCTGTTTTCTGCCTGGACACAGACCCTTGTTTTTAGATTCCTATTTTATTCTTAGTTTAGCAGCTTCTGCACCTTGTCTCTCTATTCCTTTTGGTGTAGTCATAATGTAGTATATATCATAAATTAATAAATCCAGCCTTCTGATCATGAAGCAAGACTCTTGTCCATCTCTCTCACCCTGAGGAACCCTCACAACATTTCTAAGGGCTTCAACGCAGCTCTGTGTGCAGCCGGTGCTCCCACCAGGAATTCTGGAACAACTTCCACTTCCAAACGCTGCATTTCCTTCTGACCCAGGCCCTGGTGACACTGAGACACACTTAGAATGGGCAGTCGCCCCGTGTTCTGGGGTGTGCGCGATGTCTGGTTCCAGGCACGGAATGGCCAGGGGGTCTGGTTTAGTCAATTCACATTTTATTATATTATTCTGTCAAATCAAATCTATTACATGATTCTATCAAAACAACTCCATTAAATAATTCTACCAAAGCCATTCCATGAAGTAATTCTGACAGAGCCAGTCAAAAGTGACAATTCCTTAACAGGGCTCAATGTCACTCCCCATACGAACACTTGTGGGAGCATCTCTTTCCCTCAGTTTTGAGGAGGACTGCTGGGGAGCAATCCCTTTTCTAAGGGAGGAACCTCACACACAGTTCATCCCAAGTATGAATTGGGGAGAGGAATTTCTCTCTGAGAGGGGACTGAGCATTGCCAGGGTCAGGCGATGGATAGCCAGGCCCAGCCCTGGTGATTTACCCTCAATTGTCAAATCAGGATTGGTGATTTGGGCTGGTTTTAGCCCAGTTTAGCACCAGTGCCCTGCCTGGCTGGTGGAGACCTGCTGGATCAACTCTGGGGAATGACCTGGGGGTGCTGCTGGGTGACCAATGGAGCTGGCCATGTGGCCTGGGGCCAGGAGGGATCTGGGGGACACTCAGAGGAGCAAGCCCAGAAAGTCAGGTAGTGATCGTGTCCCTCTCCCTGCCCAGTGAGGCACATCAGGAGTGCTGTGCCCAACTCTGTGGAGAGCCATTTCCAGCTGTGCTCAGGGCTGTGCTCACCTCTGCCCAGTGTCCAGCTCTGTCCAGCCCTGTGTCCAGTTCTTCCCAGTGCTGTCTGCAGCTCTGCCCAGTGCTCTTTCTCATTCTGGGTTCCTCAGGACAGAAAAGACCTGGAGATCCTGGATGGTACCATGGATGATGACAGAACTGGAGCATTTCTGTCACCAAGTGACAAATACCAGAGAGAATGGAAATTTTCCCTTCTCCTGAAGGTGCTGGACAGAGCCTGAAGACAAACTGGCAGAAATGATAAAAGGATGGAGAGGTGTGCACACAGGATGAAAATCATGGCTAGAACCCATGGAGAAACAGATAAAGGGAACTCCAGTGGGGTTTGGGCAAGTTCTGTAACAGGAAACAACAGCACACGTGCAAAGAAATTGTTCCAGGAACAGTCCCTTTGGTGTCAAGGTATTTGGTGAAACTGAGCCCCAGAAGGCCCGTTTTTAGGACTCTCCAGGACAATAAAAGACTTGTAGGGGGAGGTGGATCAATGCAAATGATTTACAGGAAAAGTACAGTTTCTGTATTAGATAAGGGACACATTTTAATGAATATTTATAATTATGGTGGATAAATACCCCATGGCAAAGTCCCCCCTGATGTGCAGGACCAGGAGAGATCTGCTGCAAGTCTGAGCTGATAAAGAATTCTGGCTTTCTGCTATCTCCATATCCATCCGGGAGTTCACTCCAGCTGATTTTGGTATCGTGGTGGGGGGACTCTGGGAGGACTCTTTGGGGGTCTGAGGGATTGGGTTTGCGGATATGGGGGGATACTGGGTGAGTCACAGGCATGAGATTGAGGTAATGGGAGGCTCTGGGGGAAAATGAAGGGGGGACACGGGATGGTGAGAGTGGGATTGGGGTGATGCGGAGGCTGGGAGACACTGTGGGTGCAGAGCGTGATGCCTGGATTTGGGTTGAGTCTCTGGGGTGACACCAAAGAACTGGGGAATGGGAGTAGGAGTGGGGTGTGGGGACAAACCGAGAGGGACACTGAGGGGCTCAGATTGTGACCCCAGGATTTGGGTCGTGATTCTGCAGAGGCTGAGGGGACTTGTATTCATGGGAGTAGGATTAGGCTTCTGGGGTTGATGGTACTGTGGACTGGGGACCCTGGGCAGTCGGGGGATGTTGGGGAGGCATAAGTAACCCCAGGATTTTGGATCAGGGAACTCAGACATGTGCAGGGGTCTGCTGGCCAGGAGTGTCTCCCTTCCCCCTGACTCACTCCCCAGCTGACCCCACTCCCTTGCCCAGTCCCTCACTAAATGAACCCTCCCCATGTCTCCCTCATGTCCCGTCTGTGTCCTCCAGTGTCCACACCAGTCCGTGTGGCTTCTCCCTGCCATGGCCCCCTTGGCTCAGACCCTGGCACTGCTGGCATTGGCCATGGCCACCACGGCTGTCAATGTGTACCCTCTGGACATGGCCCCAGACTCCTTTGATGACCAGTACCAGGGCTGTGGCCCTGCCATGAAGGCAGCACTGCCAGCCCTCAATGGCTCCGAGTTTGAGCAGAACAAGGAGTTTGCTGAGGTCTGGGTAAAGGCTGCAGCCAAGTGGCAGAGTCTGGGCCCCCTGAGTCCCCTCTATCCCAAGAGCAGGCCACCGCCATCATGGCCTTCACAATGGATGGCCTGACCAGCATGTTCAATGATGCCGTGCGCACGGCTGGGCGCTCCCGCCAGGAATACCGGGACAACTTCCACTTCAAAACGCTGCATTTCCTGCTGACCAATGCCCTGGCCATGCTGAGGGACACTCAGAAAGGGCAGTGTCGGGACGCATTCCTGAAGGTGTGTGACGTCCAGTTCGAGGCACAGCGTGGTGACACCGTCTGGTCCGGTCTATTCGTGCCAATGTTCCTGAGCAAACCAGTTGGCGAGTGTCCTGATGAGACAATGCTAGAGGTGCACACATGCCATGGCATTGAAATCCAGTTTTTCACCGAACACCCCAAAGAGAAGGTGGTGCTGATCCCATCCTTTGAGACCTTCAAGGTCACCGAAGTGACCCGAAATGGGGACAAGACACAGATCCAGCTCCAGTCCACCGGGACCTACAGCAAATACAACTCCGAGTGGCTGCGAGGTGACACTGCAGGGGACAACCTGGGGGAATGGGGACAGCCATGATAAATCATAGGGGACAATGACACTGACTGGGGATGGGAGACAGGGACACCCACAGTGTGTGGGGGGACAAGGATACCCTAGGCTGGGGACACCAATTCTGGGGACACCAATTCTGGGGACACCCATTGCGGGCACAGGGGCAGGAACTCACATGACAGAGAACAGGGATGGGGATCCCCGATTCTGCGTGGGAACAGGGACAGGAACACCTGTGCCCGGGGACAAGGAACAGGGACAGAGACAGGGACCCTCCCAGGGTACCAACCCTGTCCCTCTCTGATAAAGGCAGTGCTGTGGGAATGGGCCCTGTGTGCAGAACATAGGTGGGCCAGGACCTCCCCTTGCCACTCCCTGAAATTCTGTAACCCCCCATGGCAATCCCTGAATACCCCTGAGACCCTGTCACCTCTAAGCCCACCATGAGTCACCTGACCTCGCTGGCCCCTGTACCCCCCGTGTCCCTCCCAACACCCTGTCACCTGTCACACTCATGCCCCCATCTCTCCTGTCACCCTTAACCTCCCATTATGGCTATCCCTGATCCCCTTACTACCCCCATGGCCCCACTGATTCTCCTCTTTTTCCCCCAGGTTAGAGTGTCCCCAGGGCTCCTTTCCACCTCAGAGGACTGCTCGTGGCCACCACAGCCTTGGCAGTGTCCACCAGGATCCTCTGAGCCATGAGGCCATCATGGTCACCAAGGTCACTGTGGTCACTGTGTCAGCTGTGGCCACCAAGGCCATTGTGCAAAGCAATTCTAATAAAAAATTCTTTCAAAAAAATCCATTAAATAATTCTGACAAAGCCAGCAAAGAGAGACAATTCCTAAACAGGACTCCCCACACCAGCAATCTTGGGAACGTCTCTTTCTCTCAACCTCAAGTAGGATCCCTAAGGAGCATCCCCTTCCCAAGGGAGGATCCTCACACACATTTTATTCCAAGCAGAATAGAGGAGAGAAATCTCTGTCTGACAGAGGACTGGATGTTCCCAGGGTCAGCGGATGGATGGCCAGGCCTAGCTCTGGTGCTTCAGTCTCAGTTGCCAATTTGGGGTTGGTGATTTGGGCTGGTTTTAGCTCTATTCAGTGCCAAAATCAGCACAAGACCTCTCTCAATGTTGCCCTGATGGCCATAAAAGGGGCATAGTCCCTTAGGCACATTCCAGGCAGAGCGTCCTGCCCCATCCTGTGCTTCAGGGGACCTTAAAGGCTGGAAATTGGGAGGTTCAAGAGGGCAAGGGAAGGTCCTTTCCCTGGGGAGCAACACCTCCCAGTGTCAGTTCCAGACAGAGGGGACCTGCTGGATCAGCTCTGGAAAATGACCTGGGGGTGCTAGGGGGTGACCAGTGAAGCTTTCCTGGGGTCAGGAGGGATCCAGGGGGCATCAAGAAGAGCAGGGCAAGGAGGTCAGGGAGAGATCATGCCCATCTACCCTGACCTGGGAGGCACATCAGGAGTGATGTATGCAGATCTGCCTAGTGCCGTGTCCAATCCTGGGCTCCTCTGGACCAAATCCTGTGCTCAAGAATGATGCTGCCTGAGCTGGGAGGTTGGGCCAGGTGCCCACTCTGGGTCCTTCCAGCCCCACCCATTCTGGACTTTGGGGATGTTGGCAGTTGTGGTTTGGGATTTGTCCACCGGAGGGCGGCAGCGAGCGTGGGAATTCAGCAGCACTGCACATGCGCCGCCCCCAGCTGCAGCTCCGGATGCCAACAGCTGGCAGAAGCGCAAGCAGCTGGGGCCGCCGAGCACCCGCCCTACCCCATCCGTGCCCCGGTGACTTTGCAATGGTTTGGGATGGAGCAATCCTAAAGCCCGTCCGGTGCCAGCCCTGCCATGAGCAGGGACATCTTCCCCTGGGCTGGGCTGTTCATGGCCCTGCACAACCTGGCCTTGGACCATTCCAGGCATGGGGTACCCACAGGTTTGGTATAGAAGGGTAACATGATAATTGGCTCTCACAATTAAGCGATGAATATTGTGTTTGTGTGTTAAGAGAAGTTTTGTTGGTATATGGTTATGTCATTGCAATTTGTTGATTGGACACCCTCTGTTCTACCCACAGCCCCCTTTCCCCAACCCATATTGTTTCTACCTGACAGCATTGTTTTTAAGGGATGTCAGGGACATGTGAAGGGAGGGAGGGTGTGTACCTGTGCCCCTTGCATAGGGTAGCTGGGAATGGGAGAAATTGTTGCTGGGGAGGCAGGGCATGAAAACACCTCACTTCCCATCAGACTGCAGAAAGGTCTCCACCAATGGACAGCAAGGAAGAGTCAACTGGCAGATTTTGGGTGGGGCAAGGGATTTATAAGGAAAGTGTTTGAATATGCATGACTGCTTATGAATATGTATTTAGCTGACACAACCCCCCAGGAGTATAAAAGGCAGAGACACCATTTTGTGGCAGTTGGCCACACTCCCAGCGCTGTTCATTTTCCTTATGCAGTCCTTTTGTAGTGTTGTTGAGGTTTAATAAACCTTTAAAAATTTAAGTGAGCAGTCATTTCTCACAGTCACTATGGTTTCCATTATCAACAAGGCCACCATGACCCCCAGAAAAATGAGGTCACCAAGGTGCCATGGTCACCCCTGACATTATCCCTGGAGGAAAAGAGAAAAACAGGAAAAGAGAATGGAAGACAAATCAAATCTCTTGGCTTTTTGAAAACATTAAGATGAATGCTACATGTAGATGTTCAAATAACTTTGCTTTTATTTCTGCTATTAAGAAAATCTTAGACATGGTAGTAGTGGTAGGTGATATAGCTAGGAGTGAACTGTCAGTTTGGTTGGAATAACATCCAGTGAACATGTCATGAGGACCCTGCTGTTGATATGGCAACTATCAGCATCTGCTGTCTGAAGAAAGTATGGACCAAGGTGCAGACTGGAAGTAATAAAGAGAACGAGCCAAAACTGCAGCCAAGAAGCAGGCATGCTCTAAAAAAGGCAGACCCAAGGAAGGGCCATGTTAAATAGTTCCTGGAATCTGGAAACTAGTTTATGGAGCTATATGGATATGCATAATGGTCTAGGGATATGCCATCCTGGGCCCATGTCCCTCTACAACTGTCCCCTGGAGTCCTCCCAGCCCCCCATATTGAAATTGGCTGGAGTGAACTCCCTGATGGAACTGGAGGTAGTAGAAAGCCGGAATTCTTGATCAGCTTGGACTCACAGTTGATCTCTCCTGGTCTTGCACTTAGGGGGCACTTTGTCAACAGAATCTATCCATCCTAATTATACATATTCATTAAAATGGGCTGCTTAGCTAGTACAGAGCCAGCACACAAAGTGGCTGAGAGCCAGCAACGCTGTGGTCATGGTATGGCCACAACTCCAGCACTGGTAATCGAAGGAGTCCTGATCCATGTCTAGGGGCACCACTTTGTTGGCTGCAGTGGTCACAGTCATTGCCAGGGGGTGAGCCAGGAGGGCCATGGCAGGGAGGATACTGGGAGCAGTGTGGGGCACTGGGGGACAAAGTGGGACATACACTGAGGACACACAGGTGTGTGAGAGGCTGTCCGAAATATCCTTCATTTTTGCCTCACAATTGTCATGAAGAAAAGACCACCGAAAAATTGAAACTATTGAGTCAGTGGGGAGGGTAAAATCATGCAATTGTCAGCTTGTTTCCACAGGGGTTATTTGCATAACATGCCACGCTGAACATTAAGGGGGCATTCTGCCCCTTCTGAACAACAGACTCTCTCCCTACCTCCTGGCCTGCCTGGCTTGAGCTCTGGGTGGTCGCCCACAGAAGACCCCTCTCATCCACCCTCAACCATCGTGACAGACAAGCAAAATGCAAGCCTCTTCATCAAAGAACCAAGACAAGAAATCCCCGTGCAAGAAAACCCCCCTCTCACATTCTTCCAGAGACTGGGACTGAACCCCCCTCAACTCTGGGGAGGTGTGCACGAAGGGGGGAAAAGCTGCCCAGAATAAACACACCTATGAGCACTGGGCCATGAAAACAATGGTTTTTGCCTGTTGCTTGGCTTGGACTCTGTGTAACCCCTTTTCTGTTCTTTCCCCCTCCCTGGAGACCTTAGTTTTGGCTCCCCTTCCCCCAACAAAAAATCATATAATTGGAGCCCTGGTTAGCCGTGTTTTTCGAGATCTCCCCAGACGTGATCCAGTGAGCTTTGATGGCTGGACCCCGAAGGACAAAAGCGGCATCACGTCTTGGTAGCTATAACCTCCCTGCCCTCCGTTCCTCCCTCCTTCCTTATCTTCTCCCTTTCTTCCCCAGTTCCCCTCACCAACGCATTTCAATTGTGGTTATTTCAATAAAACTGCATTTTGATTATTTGTTACTGTACTGCAAATCCCCTGTGCCTTTGTTGGTTATTTTTGCACCTTAAAAATCACCACGTTATCTATTCAATGGAATGGATCACGACATGTGGTACATGGGAAGGGTTCCTCCATGAGGGGCTCAGCATGGCCCCCAAGCTCCAATCAAATGGACTTTATTACTGAGGCCATTTATTCTCAATTCCAAGGAGGCCTTGGATATTTTCCTTTTGTTCTTCTATGCAGTGAGTCTCTTTGTCAGTGGCATGATTGTATTTGGTAACTTTTTATTGATTGTCCTCTATACTCTATATATTTTATCCTGTATTTAGCAGATAAGCAGTAATAGTCTTAATAAAAGAATAGTCTTACAGATGGGAACTGCTTTAGCATCAAGGTACATGAACTCTTTGCATAAAGAACAGAGAAGGGAAAGATGTGGAAAACCAGACCACTAAAGAAGCTCCACTGGGGAGCATGGCAGACCCTGTGGCCCTGGAACAGTAAAAACCATGAGAGAGAAAAACTCAAGGCAAGAACAGAAGTGAAGACATCATGTCTGATCACTCTGACCATCATGTCTGGACACTTCTGACCTCCACGCTGATAGCTCTGGCCAGAGGAGAGATGACAGGGATGTTGCTGGTGAAAGAGATAACAAGGACATTACTAGTGAAAAAAGGATAATTGAGAAGATTGTGTTTCTAGGGGGACTGGGGCAAAGGGGTCCAAGTAGAAATTTTCATACAAATATAGTGAGCTATAAATCCTGGTAAAGTGGTGTAATAAATGGCTTTGCTTTGCAGGCATTGCAGAGTCCGTGTCTCTCAATCCCCATACCCCAGCTGCCCAGTCCCAATCCCAATTTTGTGTTTACCCTTCCAGTGTCCCCCTGGTGCTCCCCATGATCTCATTTCTGCTCCCAGACCTTTGTAGCCCTCTTGTGACACCAGGCCACTCAGGAACCTCGACCAAATTTCCAAAGCCACTCCCTCACACCCCCCCATCTACCTTGGCCCTCTCCCAGTCCCCAGTCCTGCTCCCAGTCCTGTTGCCCATTTCATGTCACCCCAGGACCACAACCCAATTTTGGGGACAACCCCTCACCCTGCAATGTCAGCCTGGAGCCCTCCAGGCCCCCACTCTGCAATCCCAGTCCCATGTCCCTCCACAAGTGTCCCATGGAGTCGCCCCAGCCACCATTATCAAAATCAGCAGGAGTGAACTCCCTGATTGAACTGGAGGCAGCGGAAAGATGGAATTCTTCATCAGCTCGGACTCACAGCACATCTCTCCTGGTGCTGCACATCAGGGGGGACCTTGTCAACAGAATCTATCTATCCTAATTATAAATATTCATCAAAATGCGCTTCGTAGCTAATACAAAACCAGCACGTTTCCCATAAATAATTGGCATGGCTCTGCCTCTTTTGGGAAATAATTTTTATTGTCCTGGAGGGTCATAAAAATGGGGTGTCAGGATGTGGGTTGCACTAAGTGCCCCAATATCTCAGATGACCTTGCCTCAAACTTTCACTTTTGCAGGTGCTGCTCCTTCTGTATTACAGAACTAGCAAAAAAACCCTCACAGGAGTACCCTTTATCTATTTCTCCACAGGCTTCTGCAAACTTTGCTCTTCTGTGTGCACATTTTTACATCCTTTTATTGTTTTTTGTTTGTTCTTCTTAAAGCCGTATGCAGCACCTTCAGGAGAACTCAAACTTTCTATTCCCTCTCTTGTTGCTCAGCCTCTATGACCCCAAACCCACAGTCCCATGTTCCAGCAGTTCCTTCAGTTCCACTCCCCCCTGCTCACTGAGTTGCTGCCACTCCTCAGATAGCACTTGGGGTCCCCTATCAGATGACATCCCTGCAGGCACATTAGCCTGGGGATAATCTCTTGGGGCAGTACCTGAGTGACTTCCTTGGACTTGTTGGTGTGGCAGAAGAAGTTCTAGACCCCCAAAAATGGGATCCACCAACACCGGGAGATACCTGAGTCCAGTCTGGTATGGTGGTTCAGAAAATCCATTTGCCAGTAATCCCCAGGAGTGGTTCCACTTCCAGGGATGCCTGGAGGTGATGGTTTTGAATTCAAAGGGTTCTTTAGAAGATATATCAGGCATTGCTCTATAACAGACCTGAGAATTTTGTCCTAAGGACACTGAGGATCTGAGGCCACAGACCGATCCCCAAGGCATTGATTCCCCAGAGATTTGCTGTTGCTTTTCTCCTTTACAAATTGCAGCATCAGTTGGGGAGGGCCAGACCCGGTTATTGGGAGTTACCTCTCTCCTACCCACCCACCCAGCCACTCTGTTTATAGTGGGCTTTTAGATAAGCAGCCAATTTTCAATCTGCCCAACTCTATGCAGGCCTCACCTCTGGGGGTGAAAGAAGAATGAGAAAAAACAATAAAAGGATGTAAAAATGTGCACACAGAAGAGGAAAGATTGTTGGAGCCTGTGGAGAAAGTAGAAGGAGCAGTGCCTGCAAAAGCGAAAGTTTAAGGCAAGGTCATCTGAGATATTGGGGCACTTAGTGCAACCCACATCCTGACACCCCATTTTTATGACCCTCCAGGACAATAAAAATTATTTCCCAAAAGAGGCAGAGCCATGCCAATTATTTATGGGAAACGTGCTGGTTTTGTATTAGCTACGAAGCGCATTTTGATGAATATTTATAATTAGGATAGATAGATTCTGTTGACAAGGTCCCCCCTGATGTGCAGCACCAGGAGAGATGTGCTGTGAGTCCGAGCTGATGAAGAATTCCATCTTTCCGCTGCCTCCAGTTCAATCAGGGAGTTCACTCCTGCTGATTTTGATAATGGTGGCTGGGGCGACTCCATGGGACACTTGTGGAGGGACATGGGACTGGGATTGCAGAGTGGGGGCCTGGAGGGCTCCAGGCTGACATTGCAGGGTGAGGGGTTGTCCCCAAAATTGGGTTGTGGTCCTGGGGTGACATGAAATGGGCAACAGGACTGGGAGCAGGACTGGGGACTGGGAGAGGGCCAAGGTAGATGGGGGGGTGTGAGGGAGTGGCTTTGGAAATTTGGTCGAGGTTCCTGAGTGGCCTGGTGTCACAAGAGGGCTACAAAGGTCTGGGAGCAGAAATGAGATCATGGGGAGCACCAGGGGGACACTGGAAGGGTAAACACAAAATTGGGATTGGGACTGGGCAGCTGGGGTATGGGGATTGAGAGACACGGACTCTGCAATGCCTGCAAAGCAAAGCCATTTATTACACCACTTTACCAGGATTTATAGCTCACTATATTTGTATGAAAATTTCTACTTGGACCCCTTTGCCCCAGTCCCCCTAGAAACACAATCTTCTCAATTATCCTTTTTTCACTAGTAATGTCCTTGTTATCTCTTTCACCAGCAACATCCCTGTCATCTCTCCTCTGGCCAGAGCTATCAGCGTGGAGGTCAGAAGTGTCCAGACATGATGGTCAGAGTGATCAGACATGATGTCTTCACTTCTGTTCTTGCCTTGAGTTTTTCTCTCTCATGGTTTTTACTGTTCCAGGGCCACAGGGTCTGCCATGCTCCCCAGTGGAGCTTCTTTAGTGGTCTGGTCTTCCACATCTTTCCCTTCTCTGTTCTTTATGCAAAGAGTTCGTGTACCTTGATGTTAATACAGTTCCCACATCTAAGGCTATTATCTTATTAATACTATCACTGCTTATCTGCTAAATACAGGATAAAATATATAGAGTAAAGAACACAATCAAGAAAAATTTGCCAAACGCAACCCTGTCCCAGACAAAGCGACTTACCGCATAGGAGAACAAAAGCATAATATCCAAGGCCTCCTTGGAAATGAGGATAAATGTCCACTGCTGTAAAGTTCTTATGGTTGGAACTCCGGAGCCATGCTGAGCCCTTCACAGAGGAACCCTTCCCATGTACCCCCGTGTGTCCTCAGTGTCCCCTCAGTGTGTGTCCCACTTTGTTCCCCCAGTGTCACACACTCCTCCCAAAAATCTCCCTGCCATGTCTCTCCTGGCTCGCCCCCTGGCACTGCTGGCAATGACTGTGACCACTGCAGCCATCAAGGTGGTGGCCCTAGACATGGCCCAGGACTCCTCTGATGACCAGTACTAGAGCTGCTGGGGCTGCTGGCCCTCAGCCACTCTGAGTTCCAGGTGAATCCTCTCTTCACCCAGACCGGGGTGAAGGCTGAGGCTGAGTGTCAAATCAGGGCTCTCCTGTGTCCCCTTTGTCCCCTCTGGAATCCCCAGCCCAGGCTGTTGCTCTCATGGCCTACGCAAAACAGGACATTTTTAAGGACTTCAATGCAGCTGTGTGTGCAGCCAGGGCTCCCGCCAGGAATTCTGGAACAACTTCCACTTCCAAACGCTGCATTTCCTTCTGACCCAGGCCCTGGTGACACTGAGACACACTCAGAATGGGCAGTGCCACCACGTGTTCTGGGGTGTGCATGATGTCTGGTTCCAGGCACAGTGTGGCCAGAGGGTCCGGTTTAGTCAATTCACATTCTATTAAATTATTCTGTCAAATCAAATCTATTACATGATTCTATCAAAACAACTTCATTTAATAATTCTACCAAAACTATTCCATGAAGTAATTCTGACAGAGCCAGCCAAATATGACAATTCCTTAGCAGGGTTCCATGTCACTCCCCATGCGAACACTTGTGGGAACGTCTCTTTCTCTCAACTTTGAGGAGTATACTTGGGGAACATTCCCTTCACGAGGGAGGAACCTCACACACATTTCATCCCAAGTATGAATAGAGGAGAGGAATCTCTGTCTGAGGGGGTGACTGGGCATTGCCAGGGTCAGCTGATGGAGGGCCAGGCCTATCTCTGGTGATTTACCCTCAGCTGTCAATTCGAGGTTAGAGATTCAGGCTGGTTTTAGCCCAATTTAGCACCAATACCCTGCCTGGCTGGTGGGGACCTGCTGGAGCAGCACTGGGGAATGATCTGGGGTTGTTGTTGGGTGACCAGTGAAGCTGGCCGTGTGTCCTGAGGCCAGGAGGGATCTGGGGGGGACACACAGAGGAGCTAGGCCAGGAAGTCAGGGAGTGTTAGGGCTCCTCTCCCTGCCCAGTGAGGCACATCAGGAGTGCTGTGCCCAACTCTGTTCAGAGTCATTTCCATCACTGCTCTGGGCCTTGTAGACCTCTGCCCTGTGCTGTGTCCAGCTTGGCTTGGGGCTGTGTCTGGTTCTGCCTAGTGCCATGTCCAGCTCTGCCCAGTGCTCTTTCCCATTCTGGGTTCCTCAGAACAGGAAAGACCTGGAGATCCTGGAGGGCAGCATGGACGATGACAGGACAGGAGCATTTCTGTCACAAAGTGACAAATAACAGAGAATGGAAATTTTCCCTTCCCCTGAAGGTGCTGGACAGAGCCTGAAGACAAACTGGCAGAAATGATAAAAAGAGGGAGAGGTGTGCACACAGGATGAAAATCATGGCTAGAACCCATGAAGAAACAGATAAAGGGAACTCCAGTGGGGTTTGGGCAAGTTCTGTAACAGGAACCAACAGCACCTGTTCAAAGAAATTGTTTCAGGGAAAGTCCCTTTGATATCAAAGTTTTTGGTGAAAATGATACCCAGAAGCCCCATTTTTACAACACTCCAGTGCAATAAAAGAAGTTGTAGGAGAAGGGAGATCAATGCAAATGATTTACGGGAATAGTACATTTTCTGTACTAGATAAGTGGCACATTATAGTGAATATTTATGATTATGATGAATAAATACCCCATAGCTGAGTCCTCACTGATCTGCAGACCAGGAGAGATCTGCTGTGAGTCCAAGCTGATAAAGAATTCTGGCTTTCTTCTTCCAGTTCCATCAGGGAGTTCACTCCAGCCGATTTCTGTATTGAGGGCAGGGGGGGACTCCAGGCCGACACTTAGTGGTGGACACGGGACTGAGGAATTGGGATTCTGGTGCTTGGGGGATGCTGGGGGAGTCACAGGACTGGTATTGGGGTCATGGGATGTTCTGGGGGTAAGTGAGGGGAGAACACAGGATGATGAGAGGGGATTGGGGTCATGAGGGTGCTAGCAGACACTTTTGGGGCTGAGGGTAATGCCTGGATTTGGGTTGAGGTCCTGAGGTGACACCAAAGGAACTGGGGAATGGGAGTGGGATTGGGGTCTCAGGACGGGTGAGAGGGACACTGGGGGGCTCAGAGTGTGACTCCAGGATTTGGATCAGTGCCATGGGGGGCCTGGGGGAACTTGAATTCATGTGAGTAGAATTGGGCTTCTTGGGGGCTTCTTGGGGGCAATTGGAATTGGCATCCCTGGGGAGCTTGGGGAGGCCTAAGTAACACAGAATTTGGGATCAGCAACTCCAGACATGCCCAGGGGTCTGCTGGCCAGGAGTGCCTCCCTTCCCCCTGGGCTGACCCCACTCCCCTCCCCAGTCCCTCACTGATGAACCCTCCCTGTGTCTCCCCCACATCCCCTCTGTGTCCTCTAGTGTCCACACTTGGTCGCTGTGGCCTCTCCTCTTCATGGCCCCCCTGGCTCAGACACTGACACTGCTGGCAATGGCCATGGCCACCACGGCTGTCAAGGTGGTGACCCTGGACATGGCCCCGTACTCCTTCGATGACCAGTACCAGGGCTGTGGCTCTGCCATGAAGGCAGCATTGCCAGCCCTCAACAACTCTGAGTTTGAGCAGAATGAGAAGTTTGCCGAGGTTTGGGTAAAGGCTGCAGCCGAGTGGCAGAGACGGGGGCCCCCTGAGTCCCCTCTGTCTCCAGAGCAGGCCACTGCCATCATGGCCTTCACAATGGATGGCCTGTCCAGCATGTTCAATGATGCTGTGCGTGTGGCCGGGCATTCCGACATGGAATACCGGGACAACTTCCACTTCAAAACGCTGCATTTCCTGCTGACCCAGGCCCTGGCAACACTGCGGGATGCTCAGAAAGGGCAGTGTCTTGACATTTTCCAGAGGGTTTGTGGGGTCTGGTTTGAGGCACAGCATGGTGATATCATCCGGTTCGGTGAATTCATGTTGGCATCCCTGAGCAAACCAACTGGCGAGTGCTCCAATGACACGGTGCTCGAGCTGCACACGTGCCATGGCATGGAAATCCAGTTGTTCACCAAACATCCAGAAGAGAAGGTGGTGCTGATCCCACCCTTTGAGACCTTCAATGTCACCCAAATCACCCAGGAAGGAAACAAGACACAGATCCAGCTCTGCTCCACCGGGACCTTCAGCGAATTCAACTGCGTGTGGTGTGAGGTGAGAGCACTAAGGAACGGCCTGGGAGGATGGGAAACCCACTGTGGCCATGGGGACACCCATGAGAGGGCACAGAGCACAATGACACTCACTGGGGATGGGGACTGGGACAGAGACACCCACTGTGTGTGGGGGAACATGCTGGAGACAGCAAGTTTGGGGACTCCCGTTGCGGGCATGGGGATAGGAACACCCATGAAATGGCACAGGGATGGGGGCCTGCATTTCTGGATGGGAACACGGACAGGGACACCCCTGCCAGGGGATAACAGGGACAGGGACAGATATTTGGATCTCCCCGTTCTGACCCTGTCCCTCCCCACCTTGGGTAATGCTGTGAGGATGGGCCCTGTGCGCTGGATGAGGGTGGGTCATGAACCCCCATGGCTCCTCCCTGTAACCCCTAAGCCCACCATGAACCCCTGACCTCCCTGGCTCCCTATAGACCCGGGTGCCCTCACCGACCTCCTGCAATGCATCACCTCATGGTCCCCATCACTCCTGTAACCCCTCTCTCCCCATTATGGCCATCCCCAAACCCCTCACTCCCCACATGATCCCTCTGATCCCTCTCTTTGTCCCTCAGGTCGGAGCATCCCCAGCACCCCTTTCCACCTCAGAGGACTCCTCCTAGCTGCCACAGCTCTGGCAGTGGCCACCAGGATGCTCTGAGCCATGAGGCTGCCAAGGTCACTGAGGTCATCGTGGAAGACATGGTCACCTTGATCACGAAGACTCCCTGAGATACAAGGCTACCACAGCCACTGACAACACTTGTGGGAGCATCTCTTTCTCTCAACTTTGAGGAGGATCCTTGGGGAGCTTCCCCTTCCCAAGGGAACAACCTCACACACATTTCATTCCAAACAGGAATAGGGGAGAGGAATCTCTGTCTGAGAGGGGACTGCACATTCCCAGGGTTAGCTGATGGATGGCCAGTCCCAGCTCTGGTGCTTTACACTCAGTTGTCAATTTGGGGTTGGTGATTTGGGCTGATTTTAGCCCAATTCAGAGCCCAAACCAGCACAAGACCCCTCTCAATGCAGCCCCAATGGCCACAAATGGGGCATAGTCCATTGGCCACATTCCAGGCAGAGCATCCTGCTATATTCTGCAGTTCAGGGGATGTTAAAGGCTGGGAAGTTCAAGATGGCAAGGGCAGGTCCTGTCCATGGGGAGGAAAAGTCTGTGGTGCCACTCCTGGCTGGCGTGGACCTGTTGGAGCAGCTCTGGAGAAGGACCTGGGGGGCCTGGTTGGTGACATTGGGAAGAGCAGGGTGAGGAGGTCAGGGAGTGATCGTGCCCCTCTGCATAGCACAATGAGGGACACAGGGAGGGCTGTGTCGAACTCTGTCCAGTGCTGTGTCCTGTTCTGGTCTGCTCTAGTTTCCAATCCCGGTCTCAGGGATAATGCTGCCTGAGCTGTGAGGCTGGGCCATGTGCCCACTCTCGATCCTTCCAGCCTGACCCATTCTGGCATTTGGGGATTCTGGCAGTTGCAGTTTGGGAATTGTCCACCAGAGTGCAGCAGCGAGCATGGGAATTCAGCAACACTGCAGTTCCAGGTGCCAACAGCAGGTGGCAGCATGAGCTGCTGGCACTGCTGAGCACCCGCCCCGCCCCATCCCGGTCCTGGGGGCTCTGCAATGGTTTGGGGTGGGGCGACCTTAAAGCCCGTCTGGTTTCAGCCCTGCCATGGGCAGGGACAGTTTCCCCTATCCAGGCTGCTCCTATCCCCTCTCAGCCTGGCCATGGATGCAGCCAGAGATGGGGTAGCCACAGCTTCTCTGGGCAACCTGTGCCGGGAATCACCACCATCACAGGGAAGGATTTCATAGGAAAGGTGAGTGGTGATGTCTTT